TTAGTTTTTTTCCCCTGTATTTGTTGTCAACTATAATGGTAACTAGTTACTACGTTTTGATCCTTATCATTACCCAAACCAACTTCCTATTGCTCTATGCAGCTAAACATACCAAGTGGGACTAATTTAATAAGTACAACATTTTCGACCTAATTAGAGTCGAGTGTTTGTAATGTCAGCAGTTAGCTAATGGAAGGTTTTAATTGTACTGGGTGTAAGCAGTATATTGGTTCATCCTGGGCATTATCATATAAATTCTTTTTTACTAAAGAAGAAACAAAAAGAGTGGGACCTAAACCAAAAATCCCAATAACAAACGTCCTTTACATTGTTTTATATAAACCCCCCCAAAGTTTCATCTTCTCTCCATTCCCACTCAAAACTTCTTTCATCCACCTTTGTTTCCCTCTTCTCTCACTTAAATCCAAAAGAGAGAGTGAGTGAGTTAGTCAATACTGTTATCATACAGAAAAAAAAAACAGAGAGAAGAAAAATGCAGACAGAGAGAAGAAAAATGCAGACGAAGAAGCTCTTTATCTCTATAGTCTCCTTTCTTCTCTATGCTCCATTGATCTTATCTTCTCCAGTTCCAGACCCAGAAGCTATCGTCGAAGAAGTTCACAAGTACCAATCTCTCTTTCTTATTTCTCCTTACCCACATTTCACTTTAAACCCAAAATCTCAGCTTACTGTTACAAAAAGATCCTCTTTTCGAAACAAGAAATGAACATGGGACCATAAAAAAACAAACTCTACAAAATCTCTCTGTTTTTTTAATTTCTTTACGAAAAAATATCTCTGTTTTTTTTTGTGTGTAAATTTACGAAAGTCTCTAACTTTATGTTGGTTTCTCTCTGTTTCTTTTTTTTTTGTAAATTTACGAACAAAGTCTCTAAATTTTTGTTGGTTTCTCTCTGTTTTTTTTTTTTTTGTAAATTTGAGAACAAAGTCTCAAACTTTATGTTGGTTTCTCTCTGTTTTTCTTTTGTAAATTTAAGAACAAATGTCAAAGTCTCTAACTTTATGTCGGTTCCTCTCTGTTTCAGGAGCATCAACGCCTCCGTCGCAGCACGGAGGAAGCTAGGCTACCTCTCCTGCACCACCGGCAACCCCATCGACGACTGCTGGCGCTGCGACCCACACTGGGAAACCCACCGTCAACGCCTCGCCGACTGCGCCATCGGCTTCGGCAAAAACGCCATCGGCGGCCGCGACGGCCGCATCTACGTCGTCACCGACTCCGCCAACGACGACCCAGTAAACCCAAAACCCGGAACCTTAAGACACGCCGTAGTCCAAGACGAGCCCCTCTGGATCATCTTCAAGCGAGACATGACCATTCGTCTCAAAGAAGAACTCATCATCAACTCTTTCAAGACCATAGACGGTCGTGGCGCCTCCGTGCACATCGCTAATGGGCCTTGTGTCACGATCCAGTACGTGACTAACGTGATTATCCACGGGGTTCATATACACGATTGCAAGCGTGGTGGGAACGCTATGGTGCGGAGCTCTCCACGGCATTACGGGTGGAGGACGGTGTCGGATGGTGACGGTGTGTCGATCTTTGGAGGGAGTCATGTTTGGGTTGATCATGTTTCGTTGTCTAATTGTGAAGATGGGCTTATTGATGCGATAATGGGCTCGACGGCGATTACTTTGTCTAATAATCATATGACGCATCATGATAAGGTTATGTTGCTTGGGCATAGTGATAGTTATGTGCGTGACAAGAATATGCAGGTTACTATTGCTTTTAATCATTTTGGTGAAGGGCTTGTTCAGAGAATGCCAAGGTAAAAAATATTTTTTTTTTTTTTTTTTTGAGTTAGTTAATGTGATTTGTAACTTAATGTTGTGACTTGGGACCAAAATGTAGGTGTAGACATGGGTACTTCCATGTGGTGAACAATGACTATACACACTGGGAGATGTATGCGATTGGTGGAAGTGCTAATCCTACTATCAATAGTCAAGGGAATAGATTTGTGGCTCCGAATATTAGATTCAGTAAGGAAGTGACTAAGCATGAGGATGCGCCTGAGAGTGAGTGGAAGAGGTGGAACTGGAGATCATCTGGTGATTTGTTGCTAAACGGTGCGTTTTTTACTCCGTCTGGTGGTGCTCAGTCGTCTAGCTATGCTAAGGCTTCGAGTCTTGGGGCTAGACCGTCTTCTCTTGTTGGACCGTTGACGGTGGGTTCTGGTGCACTCAATTGCCGTAAGGGTTCTCGTTGCTGAATGTGGTGGCCCTTAAGTGGTCACTTAAGGATTTTTAGCTTAATTAGTATAGAAAAGGAAATTAAAGCCACCAATTAAGGGTTAAGTTAGTCCTTTTTTACTCTCTGTATGATTTTACTTCTTTATGGGGTAAAATTAAGGAGAATACAACCACTGGCTTTACTGCTCTTTGGACCCTTGTAAGGATTCTCTCTGTTTCAAGGAATCTTTTGTTAGGTTGTTAAAGAGTAGGAACAAGTGCAGATGTGTTGATCTTTGATATCAATATAATTTATGTTTTCTTGTGAATCTCTGGTCTATTTTGTCTATTTTAGTGATGAACGCAAACAGCCTTATAGCCATAGAACCGAACCACCCATTCAGAAGTTTGGACTGTTTCTGAAGATGGGTAACTCTTTTTGTTTGGGTCAAAGTTGTTGGAGCCAGTCAATGTTTGACCAAAGCCACGACTTTTTCACTCTGGTCGATGCATCGATTGTTGTTAAATAAAAAAATTTACCCTTCAAAATAGGGAAAAAAGCATGTGACCGTGCGAGAACAAGAAAAATGGGAGATTTGAAGAAAACATTGGAATAGAAAAAAAAGGAAAAGTAATAGAAAAAGAAGATTGTAACAGTCATGTGTCTCAGCAGCCCTACTTTTGATGGAGTAGTCTCGTATTTCTGTTGACTACTCTCCACTGATTGTGGATATGTTTCAAATTTTGAACTTTTATAACAACTAAAATAACTAACCAATGTATTTGTTTTTCTCCAAATAACTAACCAATCCAATACAATACACTTTTTTCTTGGCCACGTCATGTCACATGTGCTGATGTGCAACATATTAACTCATGAAAGAAAAGAAGATATATAAAAGATTCTGTGGTTACTGGTCGCTCCAAACGATGTGATGGAGTTGGTATGATTATTGTATGGCAGGTTCGAATAGGCATAGTCAGTGCTTAACAAACTATGTGAATACAAAGATAGTCTTTCCCTCTTTTCTTTACACATAAAAATATATAGGTGTCCTGTCGAGCGAGAAAGTTTTAAAACGTTTAATGGTAATGCTGTTGAGCTTGTGCCGTTGTGCGGTCCATGCCACATGTTCTTTATGAAACCTTTAACACTTCAGAGAGTTAGAGAGATCATAGTGATATTATCATTTCGAAATCTTGATTCAAACTCAACAAATAGTTACCAGAGCTCAGAGTGCAACATGATCGATTCTGAAGAAGAAAATGGAATCATCTTCAAATCGGTTTGATGTTGATCAGGATTAAAAATAACACTTTTTAGTGTGAAAAATACTTTTTTCTAAGTCAGGTGGGAGCTTAAAGTTTAGTACATATATCATTCAAGACTTAATAGTAGTCCCCAAAATGAAGCAAGAGTATTTTCTAAGCTGATAATAACATTGAAGGATCTATTATGCAGTACAATCGTTCCGAGATTAGGGTTTGTTATGATGATGATCACCGCCTTTGGGTTCAATTTCATTTGGGAGATAAAAGAAAATGATTTTGTTACTACAACTGGTGTGTTTGAGAGAACTGTTACAATTCACCTGAAAAGGTTAATATGAGTTTAAAATAGTAAGAAACAGATAACGTATCTTACAAGCAAGTTGTTTTTTCTTACCTTATCACTTGTTTGTTTTGTTGAAGGTTTAAGAGTGTGACCTTTAATGTCGATATTGTTAAGCTTATTTGACTTAATCCTTGGGGATGTGAGTATCACAATATCCTTCAACATGCACATCACTGCTCCAACGTTCAGTGGGAACAAACCGTACATAGCCCAAAAGGCTTAGGCTTCAAAAAAAGCTTCCTCCCTGAAAATTTCATATTGTTCAAGACATAGAAAGTGAGATTTCGAAAAATCAACACGAAGGTGAAAAGTATGTAGCTTGTAGTAATATAAGAATCAAATGTGTAGCACATTTAGTGTGAGGATAACTACCCTAGCTGCAAGGAGTGCACATTTTGCTTCTGTTTCTGTAGCCACATATGCTTATTCTCATTCTCAACCTCCTCAGTGATCTCAACTTTTCAGAACCATATCTACTGTGACTTTTTTCAGTATCCAAAGTCTCTAGAGCAGTTTTCTTCTGGCAACTGCTCCACAACTATTTTCACAGTTGTTCCAAGGGATGCTTGTGCAACCTTCCTTATAGGAAAACAGTTTTCCAGCTTGGGGACTCACATGACTCACCATCAGCTTGATAGTCAGTTTATCCCCAAAACTTGTTTCTGATATGAGAGTCTGAACGTTTTTCACAACTTCAATGAAGATCAAATTACATTTTTCTGAGCAATGCAGATCAGAAAGTAACAACGAAAATAAACCATTGAAAATAGAATGTTTGGTAACACATTGTGTCCACAGAGTTTAAAAGTAAGAAAGCAAGAAATAATAAGTGGCGGTTGTAATTACACATACAAAAACTCAAGTGCTTTCAAATCAAATTTAAACCATAGACTGAACCACTATATTATAATTTATTAATTTTTTTTCGAGAGAATATAATTTATAAACTTTCATTTGGAAAAAATATAACCAAGAAACAAATAATCATAAAATAGTCTTTTTTCGGCATAATCATAAAATAGTTATGAGTAAAAAAAAGAACCATGAATTTTAGGATTAGTATGTGTTTTTTATTCTTCAACTACTGTACTATTTATTTATTTCTAATTTACATAACACCTCAAAAAAAATTATATTTATTAAAAATGGTTTTCAATTTTTTGTTTTCTTTCACTAAACCGAACAAGTTTTTTCTCGTGCTATCTCTCTTACCTTCCTTATCCCTATCTCGCTCACCGTTCTGAAACCCTCCCCTTCCTCTTCTCCCTCTTCTCTCACAATGGCTTCTTCAATAGTAACCTCAACCTTGAGGCCTTTATCCATGTCAGAATCCTCCTCTTCCACCCTCTTCTCCCACCCTTCTACCTACTCCTCCAAAACTCGCTGCTCCCTCCTCACCACACGCACTTTCTCCAGCTTCTCCCTCTCTCTCAAACCCAAAACCCATCTAAAGAAATCACCTTTCGTTACTTTAGTTGCCGAGACTTCTGATTGGTCTCAGCAAGACGGTGAAGAAGAAGCAGAAGTAACCTCATCGGTCGCCGTTGAGGAGAGCGACCCAGAACCGTCTTTTTCAGAAGAAGAAGGAGATGTGAGTGAAGGTGGCGACTTTCAGGAGCCACCGGAAGAAGCAAAGCTCTTCGTTGGAAACTTGGCTTACGACGTTGACAGCCAAGCCTTGGCTATGCTCTTTGAGCAAGCTGGTACTGTTGAAATCGCTGAGGTGATATTTTATAAACTTTAATTGTTTCGTTTATGCAATTGCTTAAGGATGAGTTAATGTAAAAGTTCTTAGCTTTTTAGTGTTTGGAGCATAATCTCTGGTTTGAAATAGTTATTGCAGTATTTGTATACTTTTGGTTTTGAGTATGTTTTTATATAGTTGAGGTTATTCTTTAAGTTCACACACTTTTTTAGTTCAAGAGATAGGGATTGATAATACTAACTTGTTTTTCTTTGGTTTCTTTTGGTTGAAGGTTATATACAATAGAGAAACCGACCAGAGTCGTGGGTTTGGTTTTGTGACAATGAGTACTGTGGAAGAAGCTGAGACAGCTGTTGAGAAGTTCAACCGTTATGTAAGTTTATATGTATATCAATCGTATCTGAACTATTACCATGTATTGGTGTTTGGTTCTTGGCTCATTAGTTGCATTGTCTGTTCTTAATCCAACCAAAGTTTTAGTCTTTCTGCTCTAAGAAAGCATGTTTTGTTTCTGTCCATGGACTGCTCTTATCTACTTGTTCACTACTTATACTCATTTGTTGCATTTGCGTTGAAATGTTGTGTCTGAGACATTTTGGCAACTGAGTTTTTGTAACTTCTGATTCTGTTTGTGTTGATTTTTTCATGTTTTTTGTTAGGATTTGAACGGACGGCTTTTGACAGTGAACAAGGCAGCACCTAGAGGATCACGTCCAGAACGCCAACCTCGGGTATATGAACCTGGATTTAGAGTCTATGTTGGGAACCTACCGTGGGATGTGGACAACGGTCGTCTAGAACAAGTTTTCAGTGAGCATGGCAAAGTTGTGGATGCTAGAGTGGTTTATGACCGTGAGACAGGTCGTTCACGTGGGTTTGGTTTTGTTACAATGTCTAGTGAGACTGAACTCAATGATGCCATCGCTGCTCTTGATGGCCAGGTACTGCTCTCACTGCTCTTTGCTAGTGCAGTTTCTTACATGATTTTGTGATGTTCAATTTCTTGTGTCTTGTGTGTTTGTAGAACATGGAGGGTAGAGCTATCAGAGTGAATGTAGCAGAGGAGCGTCCAAGGCGTGGCTTTTAAGGACTGAGAAGATCTCTCTGTGCCCTCTGTCTCTTGTATTTTGTTTAGACGAGATTCTTACACTCTTTGGCGGTTTTTTTTGTTGTTGTCTGAACTCTTGAATGCGAAGCTTCTTCTAAAGTAATTTGTATTATTATTCAACGTTCAGTGCCTTGTCAGTGTAGCAATAAGGACCTTTACCACACGAAAAAAAAACAGTGAAAAGCTTCTATAGCGAAGCAGTACACTAACTAATAAATTAGTTGAGGCCTAGAGTTGAAAGGTGGTGTCTGGTGAGATATGGCCAATGCGTCTAGACCAGTAAATTGCCGATAATTACCCTAATAAGTGTACCTGACAGTTTTGTCCCCAACAATCTTTCTACTGGCGAACAAAGAATATATATGACATCATCTGTTAGCAAGTTCTGTAGAGTAAGACAATGTGATCCCTTATAAGCATTTTTCTATTACTGACAGTGTGCTTTTGTGGTGCCTACACCGAGTCGCTAGATAATATAAGTCCATTTGGCTGAGTTTTGGGTTCTTGTTAACCACCTAATGTGAAGTTGTAACCAATAGTGAAGATAATCTTGTTATTCGTCTAGATATTTGAGGATCACGATTCCAAATCATTAGGTTATGTTGCCTCTACTAATCGATCGATGTGTGGTAGTGAAAATTTATCTTTTGGACAAGATTTCTGAGATCAGTAAAATTGACGGAAACACACCATTTTCTGTTTTATTTTTCCTTTTTACCACAACGAGATAACAAGTCAGTTCGGGTATCTGATTTCTGTTATCAATCTGAATTTGAGGAGTTTCTCGAATTTGTCATTGACTGCGGTAGCGCGTTCAATTCCCAACTTTCGTTTTTTTTGTTTGACTGGTTTGATTGTTGGGTCGATCTTGAGCTTGTGACATGTTATGTTAATGTCGATCCCTAGCATATCTTCTGCAGCTCAAGCGAACGTATGAAGGTTCTCTTTTTGACATGCTATGAGTTTGTTCTTTAAAGGCTCGCGAACATTAGCTCCGATTTTGACGCATCGTTTGAGGAATGCTTCATCGATACATACCGATACCTCATGTTCGCAAGTTGGCTCATGCGTCTCTTCTAGAATCTCGGCCTTCCGTAATTGCCAAAAGAACTCTGTCGAATCTTGTTCTGGGGTGTCTTTGATAGAAGTCCGTTTCTTCTTCTTTTCAGAAGGAGTTTCGGCTGTTGAGTTTTTTTTTTTCGTTTTAATTGCGCAGCAAAACAGATTTGTGATATGCTCGGGTCACCCCTGATTTTTTCGATTCCGTGATGAGTTGGGAACTTGAGCACATATGGTATGTTGATGGAACTGCTTGCATGGAGTTCATCCATGGAGTACCCACGATTACGTTGTATGATGCGGGGCGGTCGATGACCATAAACCCCACGACCTTTGTTATGGTTATGGCCTTAACTGTGAGGTTAATTGATCCAAGAGTCATAGTTACTTCCCCTGAGAGTTCTATTAGCAGCCTTTGATTTTCTGCAATATCAGAGAGGTTGATTTCCATTCGCTTGAGGTTTTTTTTGAAGATGATATCAGCTAAGCTTCCGGTGTCGCCTAATATTATTGTGATATCGATATTTCTGATTGTCAGCACGATGACAAGGAGATCGTTGCGAGGTTTGGCCCGATTAGCCATTGCTCTTTCCTTGAAGGAGATGATGTCACCGCCAGTTAGGCTAGGCATATCGTTTTTGGATCGTTCGGTGATCTTTGAGTTAGAGAATCCGACCTTCCTCCTTCTAGCGCCAAACTTTGGGAACTGGAACTCACACCGTCGATGTCCGTTAAATAAGTAAAGTTAGGATATCCTAAATTTTTGAGAGGTCTCGGGTCTCTGCGAAATCACACGAATACGAAAAAGAGATAGATAACAAAATATCAACTGAAAATTGCATGGAGACGTTTTCTTGATTGATAAAAACATAGTTACAAGATTTCACCAAAAAAATTAATGAATAGAGAAAATTAATGAATAGAGGACTGCTAACAAAGAGAATCGTAGAACAAAGTAAAAAAAAAATGTTCTAAATATAATCTTCTAGTCTAACTACCTAAGTTCTAAGTTCTCTTAAGCTAACATGAGCTCTCTAGGTCCAAATATTTTGTCCCCCCTTTGGATCCAGCTTCCCTTATATATTGTCTTCAAGGTCGGTCGTCCTTTCTTGTTTTGCCTTCAGATCCAAGTTTATCTCTTCTCGGAAATATTCCATTTTTCTCGATCTTTGTAATTATCCTCGGAAACTTAACAGTTATATTTTCTTATGAAAAAATATAGACTGTCATAGTAATTTTGGGCTATTCTCGTCAAAAATCGTAAGTGGACTTTAGCCGCGTTTTAGACCTCTTTGGGTCAGTTTTTGACTTAGGCATTTTTACGATTTCGTTGAGAAATCACGTCGGGTCTTTGAAACTGTTTAAACCAATCATATAGTCGAGGCAATTGTGGTGTTTTAGTCAACCGTTGCCGTTTTATACGATTGATTCAAAATTATACGAGAAAACAAGTCTTTGCGATTTTTATTGTGATTCTTTAATGGTAACTCTGACTGAGACAAAACAAGATATGGTTCAGTCGAGGTCCGAAGGAGGAGATATTACCGTATGGTTTGCCCGCTCACCATATGGTGAGCTGGGGAGAAGTCGCCTAACTCGCCATATGGCGAGTTGGAGACGGTTCTTCCCACTCGCCAAATGGCGAGTTAGAAAGAGATCGCAATTTGACAAATGGTGAGTTGGAAACGGTTCGTCCTACTCGCCATATAGCGAGTTGGAGAGGGATCGCCCAACTCGCCATATGGTGAGTCGGAGACGAATCGTCCTACTCGTCATGTGGCGAGTTAGAGATGAGGATTTTTCTGCTCGCCATACGGGGAGCTGGGCACAGTTCGTTTCTCTTGCCATTCGGCGAGTTGAATGAGCGCAAAGCCGTTTCGACATTTTCAAGATTTCTATTTTTATTATTTTCCAAAATTATCTTGGAAATTTTTTTATGTAGGAATCTTAAATGTTGATTTCGAAATTATTGTTTTTGACCCCAACAAATAGGTGGTGTAATATTTATAGATGAATATGGACAAATTCCCTATAAATTCTGCACAAATTACCAAAAATCCATCAGTAATTTTTCTGTAATTCTCAATTTAAAAACAGCTACATAATGGATATATATATCGTTGGGAATACATTGGAAAATCTGACTTTTGCAACGGCTACATAACAGATATAATGTTTCGTTGGAAATTTGTCAAGGATTTCTAGACTTGTAGTGTAAGATACCAACGTTAGACAAAGAAGGTTCCAACTTTCACTTGTTTAGACAGTAAACAAGAGAATTACAACCAAACAATACTAAACGGGAAAGATTATAGGTCTCTGATAGTACGTGGAGAAGATGAACAATCAGTAGAGCGAGTTCTTATTTCTAGACTTACAAGATCTACTTTATCACCAATCAGTACTGTTATGTATTCAGTGATTTATCCAAGTCAAAGTTGGATATTCGAGTAACAGGAGTGAACGTAAGAGGATAAGCCAAGGTTTGGGTGAATTCTGTATAGCACTCGTCCGTGTTGACCTTCTCTCCTTTGATTCTCCAGTCAAAGCACTGCACCAACATTCCTATTGTTGTTCCAACTATCATATAAGCTAGACTTGATGCGGGACATCCTCTCCTTCCGCTACCAAAAGGAAGGTACTTGAGTGCTTGCCTTTTTCTCTCCTCTTCTTGCCCTGAACTCAAACAAGTTAGAAACCTCTCTGGCTTGAACTCAAGAGGATTTTGCCATACATTTGGATCTCTCATCACAGCGTAAACGTTAACTAGAAGTTTTGTCTTCTCTGGTACGAAGTACCCTCCTACCGTACATCCTTGATTGAATCCCCTGGGTATGATAGGCACTGGTGGGTGCAATCTTAGGGCTTCCTTGATGACCGCTTGCAAGTAAGGAAGGTTTGGCAGATCCCTTTCTTGAATTAACCTTGATTTCCCTACAACCGAATCAATTTCTTCTCTCAATCTCTCAGCAATAACAGGGTTGTTAATGATCTCGACCATTGTCCACTGTACTGAGTTCACCGAGGTATCAATGCCTCCAAAAAAAAGCTCCTATGATCGAACACGCATTTGTTATTTTTTTTTTTTTTTTTTTTGTAAGAGTAAGAACATTCCCAATGGGCGGTTCTAGTTCTTGGAGTTCTAAAAGTATATATGTGTATATGTATAATATTATATATATGTGTATGTAAATGCGGGGTTCTAAAATTTACGGGAAACCCAACCAACATACATATACATATAATCTTTACATACATACATGGGTATTTTTAGAGCCCTAGGAGCTAGAAAGCCCCCATTAGGGGTGCTCTAATGATTGAAGTTTGTTTGTATTTAAAAAAAAATGTGATGGAACATTTACCACCAAAAACGCCTTGATGTTGTTCCTAGTGATCTTGTATTCTGCATTTTCATCTTCAGAAACTGCCAACAACACGTCCATCATATCCATACATCGATCCCTGTTTGGTTTCTCTTTGTGTTCATCAAGAAACCTCTCTAACAGCCTGTCGAAATTTTTGAAAACCGTTCTTTTCTTGAACCATGAAATTCCAAGCTTCTCGAGCTGTCCTAAAATCAAAACTGATAAAACTGTCATTATCTTGGAAGAATTTGCTTTGGCAACCAAACTTTGGATACTCTCTATATCACCGTTCTCCTCTGTAAAACTCCTTCCCATTGCCATCCTGGCAACGATGTTTCCTACAAGCTTCCTCGTTTCCTTGTGAACCTCAACGCTCTCCTTCTTGCTCGCCTTATCGAGCAGGTTCCCACGTAACCGTTCTAGCTCATCTGCACGGATGCTTCGAGACTGGACTTGTGCGTTGGGTCCCAACAGCTTTGTAACAATGAGTTTCTTCATAAACTTAAAGTACTCTCCATAAGGTGCGGTAACGAATCCAGACGTATCGAACAGGACGGACCCCTCGTTCGTAGGGAGGTTTCGAGATGAAACGTTCACGTCGTGTGCCGTAAAGATCTCGTAGGCTACAGAGGCTGAAGAGACGAGGATGAAGGGGAAGAAAGGAACTCGGAGATGGAGGAGAGTTCCATATTTGGAAGAGAGCGTATGTAAGAACTTGTGGGGTAAAATGTCAAAAAGGGAATAAGACGGCTTGTCTAGTAAGAAAAAGAGGAGATGGTGAAGATGGCCGATGAATGGAAGAGAAGGAGGGCTTGGAGGCAAATGGACGGCATGCGTTGGTTTTGTGAAGAATAAAATAAAACAGAAGAATGCGAAGAAACATAACAAGATTAAGATTAAATGTTGACATTCATCGGTGATTATTGATGCCATTTTTTCTCAAAGTAAAGAGACTATGGAATATCAACCTAGATAAATAACGGGCAAGCTTGGAGCAAAGAAAAAAATCACGTATGTGACATGTGCAGATAACTTAAAAGTGGTAAGTGTTGACTAAAGAAACACACACAACAAGCAACACAACGTATTGACTCTATTTGATAACTTACCGATGACTAATTTGAATAATTTAACAGAGGTGACACTAAAAAGTCCACATGGATTTTAGCTTTAGTGCATGAAACGAAAGTGCCAAGATATTAACACTGTTGGATAACTTAAGATAGAGTCTTTATTATGAACCAAGCTGACAACTAGGGTTCCACATGGATCTTTTTTTGGGGCATCTTTCCACATGGATTTAAAGATTTTAAAGAATGGAATACAGTTAAATATCTACATTTCAATAATTAAATATCTACATTTCAAAATTTTGTAATATATAATATACGTGTGAAATACGCAGATGTTATATCAAGAAATGTCTAGTCTCAAGTAGTGTCAAGTAATGTAAGAATCCTCATCCTACTATACATTAATTGAAAAATCACTTAAGTGATTTTGTTCATTTGTCAACCATATGTGAATTTTTTGAAAAATTGTTATACTTTGATTGATTGATGATTTTTAATTTTTATTTGTTTTAATCAAATCTAAAAGAGGCAATTCTAGAACCAATTAATGTTAGTTGACAAACAATCTATATAATCTTATGCATTATCATTTATAATATTTAACTGTAGCAATTACGAAAATTTTATATAATACTTCTTCATTTATATAGATTCATTAATAGTCTATTTATAAATTATATAAAATATATTTTTAAAACGTAGTTAATAAAACTAATTTATTAACTTTATTTTTCTATTATAAAAAATGGTAAAAGTAGCTTTATTTTTTTATATAAGTCACAATATACATAGATAAAACATATACTATATATTAATTGAGAAGTCAATTAAGTAATTTCTCTTATGTGTCAATCATATATGGAATTTAATAAAATTATTATAATTTGATTGGTCGATTATTTTAATCAAATCTAAAGAGGCAATCCTAAGACCAATTAATGTTAGTTGCCAAACATTCAATATGATGTTATGCATAATAATTCATAATATTTAACTGTAGAAATTATATTTTTTATATAACACTTCTTCCTTTATATATAGATTCACTAATAGTCTATTTATAAATTATATAACGTATATTTTAAAAAGTAGTTAATAAACTAATTTACTAACTTTATTCTTCTATTATAAATAGTGGTAAAAGTAGCTTTATTTTCTTATGTAAATCATAATATACATAGATGAAATATATAACTTTGATACAAAGACATTATAATAACTATTAATGATCATAAAACGAGTTTATAAATTATCGACATGAGTTTAATCTTCATAGTATATAAATTATTATATAATTAATGGTAGCTAATTTGTAAAATTATAGAAAGTGTAATAATGTTTGAATAGTTTTTTTTTAATTTTTATATACTAAATAAAAAATGAATATATAACAATTTATAGAAATCGATGTAATGATTTCATATTCATATAAAAATATTATCATATCTATAATAATTATTAGTCCCTTATAATGTACGCTTTCTAAGTAGATAGACTTTGAAGATTAGACGTAGTATATTTAACTAAACATGTGAGAACTTTGATTTAAAAATGTTTTGCATTTAAGTCAAATAATATAGTGAATAAGGTAATGTTACTATTGAAAATAATTCTAAGATGGATTTTTGGTTCATTGATTGTATGACATGTATTACTATTTAGAGATCAATAAATATTTGGCAAAAAATATGTTAACAATTAGAAAAATATTAGCAATAATTTAATAAAAAGAACGAAATAATAAAGAGAAAAGTAAGAATAGGCCGAAGAAGATGCATAATATATGTTGGAGAAGTTAATGTGATAATTATATACATAATATAATTCTACAAGTATTTGTTATTACTAAATATTCATCAGTTATTTTTACATCACATTTATGAAAACTTTACGACTGATTGTCAAACTATTTGAAGTTAAAATTTATGTTTTCATGTAATGGGTTTCATTTAGTTCTTTTCTTTGTGAAAAAATCTTAATCCATTAAGCTTTAAATTTTGGTTTTGTTAATCTCCAACCATACTCTAATTTGGAATTAATATACAATGAAATTGAATAATTTACAGATTTTGAGTGAAAAATAGAATATTGTTGAAAATTCTCTTGAAAATGGGTTGACTCAACAAATGGTCATCTAATTAATTAATTATTATTTTATCATCACTCCATTTCTACTTCAAAGTATAAAATTGGTGCAAAATTTAAGTCTATTTTGGAATCACTCTATTTTAAAATGGAAAAGTGTGACACGAATGACATCTCAATCTTCACTCCATAATTTACTTAAAATTGGAATAATGCTTTTATTTTTTATTCATTATTTTATTTCTCATTCCACTCAATTTTGAGTAAACTGAAATAAATTATGGAGTGGTGATAGAGATGCTCTAAGATATTATAAACTTCCTAATATTTTTGTTTGTGGCAAGGTCAAAGAATGATAAATTGATAATTCTAAACTCAATGGGGCATCAAGATTTCACCTTATTTAGTTAATTTTAGGGGAGGTTTTTTTTTTTTTTTTGGGGGGGGGGGGGGGGGGGGGNGGGGGGGGGGGGAGTGGAGGTGATTAGTGGATTTTGTACTTCTCCTACAATGGGATTAACATTCTGGTGGTGAGAGAGAAAAGCTAGCAAAATCGTAAAATAAAATTCTGAAACAAATACTTAGATTCATTCCAGGCTCAGCTCATCATGATTGCAGATTTTATTTGAAAAGATAAACACTAACTAAATAAAAAATACTAGTAAACAATAAGCAAAAAGTTTGGATCGTGCTTGGTAAGTCGCTTTTATCAGAATATGTAAATGCAACACTTGCCGGAATACAAGAAAACAAATGGTCCATTATATTCATGCATGTGTGACAGGCTTAACATCATAAGGAATAATAGACTCATGACGAAGGACATGGAAGAAACAGAGTGTAGGAGAATAGAGCGACAGTGATGATTCATTTCTCGGCCAGATCTTTGTCTTAGAACTTTCTTTCATTCTCTGAATCTCTCTTATCCCCAACCTTGGCTCTTAGCTTCTCGACCAGATGTCTCAATTGATTTTTGTCTCTTTGCCCTCCTCTATTATTTAGTTTTTGATCCAATAATCCATCACCAACGTTTTTATTATTTGAACATCTCTAAATTTATTATTGATTAAAGTATATAACACATTTCTATAATAAAATATCCATTTTAAAAGACAATATACTCAAAATATAAATGGTTTTATACATTCCAAATAAAAATGAAAATGCTAATGGCATCAGAAGACGAATAGTTATATTTACTGAAAACTATTAACATTCTTTTTGATGTAATGTCAAATTATTGATCAAATGAAAGAATGTTTATGTACAGGACCTATGAATTTGTAAAGAATGAAGCACATCACAAATAATTAAAGTTTTCGTAGGTACTAAATCAACGTTGGAAAATACCGTGCAACGTTATATATACTGCACCTATGTAACTAGGCATTTGGAAGGTATAAATGTATAGGTCTTAGGTTGGCATTTGCACCAAGAATAATCATGGGTAGAAGAAAAAAGTGTTAATGGTGTAATTCTATTTCTAGATCACTAAACCATATATCTTCCATGTAAGAAAGAAGAGTCAAACCTTAATGATGTCCTAAATAGCAAGCAAAGTGGTTGCCCTTAATCACCATGAGTTTTGAAAGTTAGATAAAAGTGTAAGCATTATTTGTCAAGATATGGAATACATATTCAGTTTAGTTACACATAAATGGAGTTGGATAGAAAGACTTTTAGGGTCCGATTGGCACGAAAGCTGTTGAGACTTTACGTAACCACACAGTCCTCAAAGTTAATTTAAAGCCAATCATGTTTTTAGTTCTTTTTTTTTCTCTAAAACTCGTACAGCCTCCAACCGTTTAGCTGTTACATTTTTACTCATCATGTATTGATTTATTCTAAAGCCACATTCACGAGACTTTGAAGAGGCTGTGGTTCAATAAAAATAAATTATTTAACACAACTAAAACAAAATTCAATAAAAAGGATGATAAAATATAAATTGTTTTTAAAATGGACTTTGTTGTAAGAAAAACATTTATTAATTTAGTATTATTATTTTTTTGTTTCATGAAAGAGTCATTATTAATTATACTTTTTATCAATAGTCATATTAACTAATATTAAAAACTAAAATGTGTATAAATTATATTAAAATTATAATATCATATTTTATATGTAATAAAATCCTGAAATGACATTCTATATAAATTAAAAAAATCAAATATTATCAAAATATATTTTAATAAAATAAGCCAGAACTTACATTTGTAGCATTTAATATATTATATTATTTCATTTTTCAATATATATTAAAATTTAACACAAACTTATTTTAAATAAAGATTTTCACAACTTTTGCAATTTTGAATACCAATCAGACTTTTAAATTTACTTTAAGTGACGGCCACGGATTTTACTTCTTAAAAATGATTGACTAATAAATGTTGGGGTCGAAAATGGTCAACGACAAAGTTAACACCCAAAATTCCAAAAAAGCAAAAATAAAACGTCAAACAAGAGACGAGTTCGGTCGCTATGTAACGACTGAGCACACAACACACTCGGTCGTTACGTAGCGACTGAGCTAGTAACATTACATGTTCACAGAAAATGTCAATTTCCGCGGATAAATGTTAATTTTCAAAGATAATCGCGAAGATCGGGAATTTGACTGATTTTGTGTTTTAAATTACCCAATATATTTTATGGATTTGTAAAAAAAGAATGATAGAAAAAGTAGGTAATATATATTTTGAAAAATGAATCCTAAATATATATTTATAACAGTCACAGCTTCTAAAGCTTTAGATACCAATCAAGCTTTTA